ATATTATGATCAAAAAAACCTGTCAATATTTATTTGCATATTATCGTTTCTATAATATTATTATATTTGTATTATTAATTACAAAAACATTACTAAAAAGTGTTCATTCATATATAATTATTATTATAAAAAAACTTTAAACTATGTATTTATATTATGATCAAAAAAACCTGTGAATATTTATTTGCATATTATCCTTCCTATAATATTATTATATATGTATTATTAATAACAAAAACATTATTAAAAAGTGTTCATTCATATATAATTATTATTATAAAAATATTATAAAATATGTATTTATATTATGATCAAAAACATTTATATATATTTATTTGTATATTATCCTTCCTATAATATTATTATATATGTATTATTAATAACAAAAACATTATTCAAAAGTGTTCATTCATATATAATTATTATTATAAAAATATTATAAAATATGTATTTATATAATGATCAAAAACATTTATATATATTTATTTGTATATTATCCTTCCTATAATATTATTATATATGTATTATTAATAACAAAAACATCATTAAAAAGTGTTCATTTATATATAATTATTTTTATATAAAAATTATAAAATATGTATTTATATTATGATAAAAAAGAACCTGTCAATATTTAATTGCATATTATCCTTACTATAATATTAATATATATGTATTATTATTATTAAAAACATTATTAAAAAGTGTTCATTCATATATAATTATAATTATAAAAATATTATAAAATATGTATTTATATTATGATCAAAAACATTTTTATATATTTATTTGTATATTATCCTTCCTATAATATTATTATATATGTATTATTCATAACAAAAACATTATTAAAAAGTGTTCATTCATATATAATTATAATTATAAAAAAACTTTAAACTATGTATTTATATTATGATCAAAAAAACCTGTCAATATTTATTTTCATATTATCGTTTCTATAATATTATTATATTTGTATTATTAATTACAAAAACATTACTAAAAAGTGTTCATTCATATATAATTATTATTATAAAAAACTTTAAAATATGTATTTATATTATGATAAAAAAAACCTGTGAATATTTATTTGCATATTATCCTTCCTATAATATTATTATATATGTATTATTAATTACAAAAACATCATTAAAAATTGTTCATTCATATATAATAATTTTTATATAAAAATTTTAAAATATGTATTTATAATATGATAAAAAAACCTGTCAATATTTAATTGCATATTATCCTTACTATAATATTAATATATATGTATTATTATTATTAAAATCATTATTAAAAAGTGTTCATCATATATAATTATAATTATAAAAATATTATAAAATATATATTTATATTATGATCAAAAAAATTTTTATATATTTATTTGTATATTATCCTTCCTATAATATTATTATATATGTATTATTAATAACAAAAACATTATTAAAAAGTGTTCATTCATATATTATTATTATTATAAAATTATTATAAAATATGTATTTATATTATGATCAAAAACATTTATATATATTTATTTGTATATTATCCTTCCTATAATATTATTATATATGTATTATTCATAACAAAAACATTATTAAAAAGTGTTCATTCATATATAATTATAATTATAAAAAAACTTTAAACTATGTATTTATATTATGATCAAAAAAACCTGTCAATATTTATTTGCATATTATCGTTTCTATAATATTATTATATTTGTATTATTAATTACAAAAACATTACTAAAAAGTGTTCATTCATATATAATTATTATTATAAAAAAACTTTAAACTATGTATTTATATTATGATAAAAAAAACCTGTCAATATTTATTTGCATATTATCGTTTCTATAATATTAATATATTTGTATTATTAATTACAAAAACATTACTAAAAAGTGTTCATTCATATATAATTATTATTATAAAAAAACTTTAAACTATGTATTTATATTATGATTAAAAAACCCTGTCAATATTTATTTGCATATTATCGTTTCTATAATATTATTATATTTGGATTATTATTATTAAAAACATTATTAAAAAGTGTTCATTCATATATAATTATTATTATAAAAATATTATAAAATATGTATTTATATTATGATCAAAAACATTTATATATATTTATTTGTATATTATCCTTCCTATAATATTATTATATATGTATTATTAATAACAAAAACATTATTCAAAAGTGTTCATTCATATATAATTATTATTATAAAAATATTATAAAATATGTATTTATATTATGATCAAAAACATTTATATATATTTATTTGTATATTATCCTTCCTATAATATTATTATATATGTATTATTAATAACAAAAACATCATTAAAAAGTGTTCATTCATATATAATTATTTTTATATAAAAATTATAAAATATGTATTTATATTATGATAAAAAAAAACCTGTCAATATTTAATTGCATATTATCCTTACTATAATATTAATATATATGTATTATTATTATTAAAAACATTATTAAAAAGTGTTCATTCATATATAATTATAAATATAAAAATATAATAAAATATGTATTTATATTATGATTAAAAACATTTTTATATATTTATTAGTATATTATCCTTATTATAATATTATTATATATGTATTATTCATAACAAAAACATTATTAAAAAGTGTTCATTCATATATAATTATAATTATAAAAAAACTTTAAACTATGTATTTATATTATGATCAAAAAAACCTGTCAATATTTATTTTCATATTATCGTTTCTATAATATTATTATATTTGTATTATTAATTACAAAAACATTACTAAAAAGTGTTCATTCATATATAATTATTATTATAAAAAACTTTTAAATATGTATTTATATTATGATAAAAAAAACTGTGAATATTTATTTGCATATTATCCTTCCTATAATATTATAATATATGTATTATTAATTACAAAAACATCATTAAAAAGTGTTCATTTATATATAATTATTATTATAAAAATATTATAAAATATGTATTTATATTATGATCAAAAACATTTATATATATTTATTTGTATATTATCCTTCCTATAATATTATTATATATGTATTATTAATAACAAAAACATCATTAAAAAGTGTTCATTCATATATAATTATTTTTATATAAAAATTATAAAATATGTATTTATATTATGATAAAAAAAAACCTGTCAATATTTAATTGCATATTATCCTTACTATAATATTAATATATATGTATTATTATTATTAAAAACATTATTAAAAAGTGTTCATTCATATATAATTATAATTATAAAAATATTATAAAATATGTATTTATATTATGATCAAAAACATTTTTATATATTTATTTGTATATTATCCTTCCTATAATATTATTATATATGTATTATTCATAACAAAAACATTATTAAAAAGTGTTCATTCATATATAATTATAATTATAAAAAAACTTTAAACTATGTATTTATATTATGATCAAAAAAACCTGTCAATATTTATTTTCATATTATCGTTTCTATAATATTATTATATTTGTATTATTAATTACAAAAACATTACTAAAAAGTGTTCATTCATATATAATAATTATTATAAAAAACTTTTAAATATGTATTTATATTATGATAAAAAAAAACTGTGAATATTTATTTGCATATTATCCTTCCTATAATATTATTATATATGTATTATTAATTACAAAAACATCATTAAAAAGTGTTCATTCATATATAATTATTATTATAAAAATATTATAAAATATGTATTTATATTATGATCAAAAACATTTATATATATTTATTTGTATATTATCCTTCCTATAATATTATTATATATGTATTATTAATAACAAAAACATTATTAAAAAGTGTTCATTCATATATAATTATTATTATAAAAATATTATAAAATATGTATTTATATTATGATCAAAAACATTTATATATATTTATTTGTATATTATCCTTCCTATAATATTATTATATATGTATTATTCATAACAAAAACATTATTAAAAAGTGTTCATTCATATATTATTATTATTATTATAAAAATATTATAAAATATGTATTTATATTATGATCAAAAACATTTATATATATTTATTTGTATATTATCCTTCCTATAATATTATTATATATGTATTATTCATAACAAAAACATTATTAAAAAGTGTTCATTCATATATAATTATAATTATAAAAAAACTTTAAACTATGTATTTATATTATGATCAAAAAAACCTGTCAATATTTATTTGCATATTATCGTTTCTATAATATTATTATATTTGTATTATTAATTACAAAAACATTACTAAAAAGTGTTCATTCATATATAATTATTATTATAAAAAAACTTTAAACTATGTATTTATATTATGATCAAAAAAACCTGTCAATATTTTTTTGCATATTATCGTTTCTATAATATTATTATATTTGTATTATTAATTACAAAAACATTACTAAAAAGAGTTCATTCATATATTATTATTATTATAAAAAACAACCCTTCCCACGCGGAATATCATTTACCTCACCTAAACCCCAACAGCGGAATTTATTTTATTTTATTTTTTTTTTTTTTACTGGCGAATTTTACTTCTACATTTGGACATATCCAAGGATAAAAAAAATACTAAGCATAAAGAAAAAAAATCAATATAATATATTTTACACGAATTTTAAAGTTTTACATACAAAATGAGAAATTATTTTATTTTTCTATTTTGTTTACTTGTAATTGTTTAGAGAAAAATTAAAAATGCAGTATTGTTGTAAAATTGATACAAAAGACAATATTAGCATACAAAAACGATAAAAAAAAAAAATAAAAAAAAAAAAAAAAAAAAAATAAACGTACAAAAATTGAAAATTGAAAAAAAGTATTTCTAAACAGTTTTGAAACAGAATATTATAAAAAGGAATACAATGCCAAGTTCATAAAAAATCACTAAAAACAATGTTAGGGTCCAACAAAAACATTATAAAGTTCTAGTACTCAGCCATCGTGTGGAACTGCTCGAAACAGGTGTCTGGGTGAAGCGCCGGACGGGAGTCGCAAGTCTTGCAGAAGTAGATTGTCTCGCGGCGGCGTCCATTTTTGAAACACACCACACACCGATTAGCTCCCTTTTCTTTTCTGTCCATAAAATGTGGGTTTCCATCTAACCGTTGATTCGGTGGCCCGTAGACTGGACGGCCTCTTTTACGTGCTATTGGACGATTAGCGAGTTTTTCCTCTACCAAGGACTTCACCAAGCATGTGCGGAACTGCCTATGTGACATGGGATTTTTGTTGTGCTTTTGTTGTATGTCTTTGTACATAATGTACGAGTTCACAATAGCCACCTCAAAAAGCCAGAAAAACATTTTTCTATACCATTTTCTAGTTTGGCGCATAAACTGGTAAGATGAAATAAAGTGATCGGTGTGATCAACGCCTCCCATATGTTTTATGTAATCAAGGATAACATGCGGTTTTGCTGTTGGTGGCTTGTTCGGCCACTTGCTTGGGACATCCGTCGTATTATGTTTGCTACCCTTGGAAAAAGTGCTTAGCATGTGTACAGTGCGCTTATCTTTCCAAGAAAGTACCAGTGTATTTTCCTTTCGCTTGGAAACAATTTCCCCCTTTTTTAGGCCTTTACCAATAGCTTTCAATCTTGGTGGTAAACCAACTCTGTTTGGCATTACAGTGCCTGTAAGGAAACATCCCATACCTAATAGCTCTTCTGCTATTTCAGGACTCGTGTAATATCTGTCTGTGTAAACGTGGAGACCAGTAGCAGGTGAAACAGGGTCTTTCATAGCAACAGACTGGGCTAATACTTTTACAATCTGTGTTGTTTTTAGCAATGTTGTGTCTGGTATTAGTGTCTCCTTTCCGTAATATGGGATAAAATCATATAGATAGCCACTCTTGCTATCGGACACAACAAAGATCTTCAAACCGAATTTGGTTGGTTTGTTTGGGTTATAGATCCTAAAACTAACTTTTCCTTTGAAGGAAATGGTGCTCTCGTCGACTGAAATGTGTTCTGAGGGGTTATAAAAAAGCCTACACATTTCTTTCATATGGTCGACTATGGGTGAAACAAGAAATCCCCTGGGCACTGCATTGTTGGTATCCTTGTGATTGAAGTGGAGATTCCAGAAAATATTCAAGAACTCATCTCTATTGAACACGTCTCTGAAAAAAGGTATTCGCCCTATCCAGGTAGTCGAGTAGTAGGATTCAATAGACGGTAGTGGAATCAACCCCATATTTATTATAGTTGCAAAAAAGGCTTTCAGTTCAACAGGGGTGATGTCCTTCCACGTGTTTATTCTACCACGGGGTGAATTACACTGAGCTTTCCGCTTGTTAGCATATAAGTTTGTTTCAGTACAAATAAGATCAAATATGTTATCGTTGAAAAACAATTTGAAATAATCAATGGGCTCTGACTCGCTATCGAACGCGGCAGGAAGTACAGGTCCAGCACTTACCGAATATATCGGGATGGTATGCGAAGGGCCAGGGTCGTTATCAGTGACGTCAACCCAGTCGCTGAGTTGTGCGGTAGGCAGGTCGGCAGAGTCGGGTGGAGGCTGGGCCTGTGGAGCCGGTGGCGGTGTAACAGGTGTTCGTGTGACACGACGAGACCGCTTGGCCGGAGCTGGAGGTTGAGGGGTTGTGACAGGTGTCGGTTGTGGAGCCGGTGGTGTCACAGGTGCTCGTTTGACACCACGAGACCGCTTGGCCCTAGCTGGAGGTTGAGGGTCTGTGATAGGTGTTGGTAGTGGAGCCGGCAGCGGTGTCACGGATGTTGGTAGTGGAGCCGGCAGCGGTGTCACAGGTGTTGGTAGTGGAGTCGGCAGCGGTGTCACGGATGTTGGTAGTGGAGCCGGCAGCGGTGTCACAGGTGTTGGTAGTGGAGTCGGCAGCGGTGTCACAGGTGTCGGTAGTGAAACCGGCGGTGATGTGACAGAAATGTCCTTACGGTCACTATCTATCTCCATAACATCAATTATAGACGAGAAGGAAGTATTTGTTAGGCCTATATCATTTATAAGGTCATCATAGGTGGTGTGACTGGTATCAGTTGTGGAGCCGGGCAATGCTGGAGGTTGAAGGGGTGTGACAGGTGGTTGTGAATCCAGCGGCAGTGCTAGAGGTTGAGGGGGTTGACTGACTTCTCCGTCACTTTCACTTTCACCAGGATTGTTATATATTAGCGCGTCCTCACGGTCACTGTCATCTATATCCATATCAACATATGCGGACGAAAAAGAAGCATTCATTAGATCATTTACAAAGACGTTGAAGTCCGGGTCATCAGGGTTCGCCATTTTCAATTATAAGAAAAAATTATTGGCTAGAAACCCCAGAAAAACATAACTGTACAAATAAAGAAAATAACACACAGCACACGGAACACAACACAAGCAATAAAACTCACTAAATATCCGCCGTACGGACTCAACGCAAACAAAGAAACTCGCTAAATAGCAGCAGTACGTGGCGTGCGTATATATGCGGACTTAGCGCGGGACTACCGCACAGACACGGAAAATTCCATGCGGCGACAAACAAAACCCCCTCCCTCCCCACCACTAGTGAGCCAGCGACCTTGACAGTGATTCGGGTGCACTCGGCAATATCAGCGGAACACAAACCAATACAACCCTGAACTCTAGCGGACGTTACACCAACTACAGACTATAAATAAAGAAGATACGCATATATACGGATTACGCGTTTCGGCAAAATTTGAGGCCTGCGTATATATGCGTTTGCCGCGTGGGAAGGGTTTTAAAATATGTATTTATATTATGATCAAAAAAACCTGTGAATATTTATTTGCATATTATCCTTCCTATAATATTATTATATATGTATTATTAATAACAAAAACATTATTAAAAAGTGTTCATTCATATATAATTATTATTATAAAAATATTATAAAATATGTATTTATATTATGATCAAAAACATTTATATATATTTATTTGTATATTATCCTTCCTATAATATTATTATATATGTATTATTAATAACAAAAACATTATTCAAAAGTGTTCATTCATATATAATTATTATTATAAAAATATTATAAAATATTTATTTATATTATGATCAAAAACATTTATATATATTTATTTGTATATTATCCTTCCTATAATATTATTATATATGTATTATTAATAACAAAAACATCATTAAAAAGTGTTCATTCATATATAATTATTTTATATAAAAATTATAAAATATGTATTTATATTATGATAAAAAAAACCTGTCAATATTTAATTGCATATTATCCTTACTATAATATTATTATATATGTATTATTCATAACAAAAACATTATTAAAAAGTGTTCATTCATATATAATTTTAATTATAAAAAAACTTTAAACTATGTATTTATATTATGATCAAAAAAACCTGTCAATATTTATTTTCATATTATCGTTTCTATAATATTATTATATTTGTATTATTAATTACAAAAACATTACTAAAAAGTGTTCATTCATATATAATTATTATTATAAAAAACTTTTAAATATGTATTTATATTATGATAAAAAAAAACTGTGAATATTTATTTGCATATTATCCTTCCTATAATATTATTATATATGTATTATTAATTACAAAAACATCATTAAAAAGTGTTCATTCATATATAATTATTATTATAAAAATATTATAAAATATGTATTTATATTATGATCAAAAACATTTATATATATTTATTTGTATATAATCCTTCCTATAATATTATTATATATGTATTATTAATAACAAAAACATCATTAAAAAGTGTTCATTCATATATAATTATTTTTATATAAAAATTATAAAATATGTATTTATATTATGATAAAAAAAACCTGTCAATATTTAATTGCATATTATCCTTACTATAATATTAATATATATGTATTATTATTATTAAAAACATTATTAAAAAGTGTTCATTCATATATAATTATTATTATAAAAAACTTTAAAATATGTATTTATATTATGATAAAAAAACCTGTGAATATTTATTTGCATATTATCCTTCCTATAATATTATTATATATGTATTATTAATTACAAAAACATCATTAAAAAGTGTTCATTCATATAAAATTATTTTTATATAAAAATTTTAAAATATGTATTTATATTATGATAAAAAAAACCTGTCAATATTTAATTGCATATTATCCTTACTATAATTTTAATATATATGTATTATTATTATTTAAAACATTATTAAAAAGTGTTCATTCATATATAATTATAATTATAAAAAAACTTTAAACTATGTATTTATATTATGATCAAAAAAACCTGTGAATATTTATTTGCATATTATCCTTCCTATAATATTATTATATATGTATTATTAATAACAAAAACATTATTAAAAAGTGTTCATTCATATATAATTATTATTATAAAAATATTATAAAATATGTATTTATATTATGATCAAAAACATTTATATATATTTATTTGTATATTATCCTTCCTATAATATTATTATATATGTATTATTAATAACAAAAACATTATTCAAAAGTGTTCATTCATATATAATTATTATTATAAAAATATTATAAAATATGTATTTATATTATGATCAAAAACATTTATATATATTTATTTGTATATTATCCTTCCTATAATATTATTATATATGTATTATTAATAACAAAAACATCATTAAAAAGTGTTCATTCATATATAATTATTTTTATATAAAAATTATAAAATATGTATTTATGTTATGATAAAAAAAACCTGTCAATATTTAATTGCATATTATCCTTACTATAATATTATTATATATGTATTATTCATAACAAAAACATTATTAAAAAGTGTTCATTCATATATAATTATAATTATAAAAAAACTTTAAACTATGTATTTATATTATGATCAAAAAAACCTGTCAATATTTATTTTCATATTATCGTTTCTATAATATTATTATATTTGTATTATTAATTACAAAAACATTACTAAAAAGTGTTCATTCATATATAATTATTATTATAAAAAACTTTAAAATATGTATTTATATTATGAAAAAAAAAAAACCTGTGAATATTTATTTGCATATTATCCTTCCTATAATATTATTATATATGTATTATTAATTACAAAAACATCATTAAAAAGTGTTCATTCATATAAAATTATTTTTATATAAAAATTTTAAAATATGTATTTATATTATGATAAAAAAAACCTGTCAATATTTAATTGCATATTATCCTTACTATAATTTTAATACAACTTTCCAGCGTCCCGGAATGAGGGGAACGATCCCAGACATCACGCTTGCATCTGAGTCCCTCTTGCCGAGGATACGAGCCTGGAGAGTCCTAGAGGATTATACGGCCAGTGACCACCAGTACATCATTTTTGATGTCATGGATAGTCATCAGAGACAAGCTACCGTGTCTCGGCAGGTGCCCGTTCGGTGGAACACCAAAAAGCTGGACGTGGCCAAATTCACCGAAGTCATACTACGGGGAGAGCCAGTGGTACCTGCTGCATCCGGCGTGGCTCACGCAGAGACATCAGTTACATCATTGATGAGGCTGATAGTCTCGGCCTGCGAAGAGTCAATGCCTCGCAGGATATCCCGGTGCGATAAGCGACCTGTGTACTGGTGGACAACCGAGATCGCAGAACTACGACGGGCAGCATTGAGAGCCAGACGTCTTGCTACCAGGGCTAGAGAACCTGAAGATAGACGTCTTAAGTCTGACGCTTACAAGGTGGCAAGGAAGTCTCTTCGCCGGGCCATTAACCGGAGCAAACGCAGTTGCTGGGAGAAATTAAGGGACGATGTCGATTCCGATCCGTGGGGCCTTGGTTACAAGATAGTAACCAAGAAGCTTGGCACCCGCTCTCCACCTTCCGTTATGGACGGGGCCTCTATGGAGAGGATCGTAAAGTCCCTTTTCCCGACTCACACACTGCGTCCATTGCGGGAGTTCGGAAGGGTGGACGACGTACCGCTTTTCAGTCTCGAGGAGTTGGAGGCGGCCGTTCTGTCCCTGAAGAACAACAAGGCTCCTGGACCGGATGGGGTACCTGGTGAGGCCCTGAAGAAAGTCTTTTCAATAAACCCACAAATCCTTTTGAGCACGTACAATGCCTGTCTGGCCGAGGGGAAGTTTCCCTTCTGCTGGAAAACAGCTAGGCTTGTGCTCGTGGGGAAGGGAAAAGGAAACCCAGACCTACCCTCCTCTTACAGACCTCTCTGTATGTTGGACACTGCTGGGAAAGTCTTGGAAAAGTTGATCCGTTCCCGACTGAATTCAGCCGTGGTTGCTGCAGGGAATCTATCCCCTCGTCAGTACGGTTTCAGGAAGGGACGGTCAACGGTTGACGCTATTGAGGAGGTAAAGCGAGCCGTAATGAGAGCTGAGGAGTTTAACAACTATTCTCGTCGGGTTGTGCTGCTTGTAACACTTGATGTGCGAAACGCATTTAATTCCGCGAGGTGGTGCGATATGCTCGACGCACTGGAGAACACTTTCCACGTCCCGGCATACCTCATGCGCATGATAGAGGACTACCTCCGGTACCGCCTCATCATTTACGACACTACAGAAGGCTCCAGGACGATGGATGTAACTTCTGGTGCTGCTCAAGGATCCATACTGGGCCCGGACCTCTGGAACGTCGCCTACGACAGCCTCTTGAGATCCGAGATGCCTGAGGAAACCGTCCTAGTTGGGTATGCAGATGACGTTGCGGCTTTAATAGCTGCACGTAGCATTGAGCTTGCCCAGCTGAAACTAAATCGAGTCATGCGAACCATTAACGCATGGATGGCAGAACATGGTCTCTCGCTCGCTCTGAGCAAAACTGAGATTGTCATTCTGACTAAAAAGAGGATTGACACCATCGTGCCTTTGATGGTGGGGAACGTTGAAGTCCAAACCACTCGTGCCGCAAAGTACCTTGGGGTCATGGTGGACAGCAAGCTCAGCTGGCGAGACCAGATCACCCGTACGGCGGACAAGGCCGCTAAAATGGTTTCTTCCCTTAGTCGGTTAATGGCCAATGTCGGAGGTCCACGGTCCAGCCGCAGAAGGCTGTTGATGTCTGCGGTCCAGTCAGTGCTCCTGTACGGTGCGGAGGTCTGGGCAGACGCTCTCAATAAGGAGGTATATAGGATGCGGCTCGCCCGAGTGCAGCGTCAGGCAGCACTAAGGGTAGCATCTGCCTATCGAACAGTGTCCGAACCCGCCGTCCTGGTGGTTGCTGGAGTCATCCCCGTCAAACTTTTGGCGGCGGAGAGGAAGGCAATTTATCAGCGCC